TTTTTTTTTTTTTTTTTTTTTTTTTTTTTTTTTGCAATGTATAACTTTATTTAATGATTTAATATTGTTGAGGGAGAATCAAAATATGTAGAAATTATGTAGCACTGTGACAATTGATCTCAAAATTCAAATGCTAGTTCTGTGTCATCAAGAACAAATTTTATAACAAAAATTTGCTATGGCAATTTGTGATGAACGTTATATGATTCATCCAAATCTGGTGAGAATTAAACTTTATCGAACAAAGATTTATATACCTCGAATGAGATTAAATAATTCTATATATCGTGATAACAGAAAACAAAAACTGAATGATTTCAGTACAGTCTAGTGAGCTTAAAGCACCAAACTTAAATCCATACCTCATCCTCTGACACATCAATTCTCATTTTATCCACCCTTCTTATTTTGATTTTGCTAAATGAATGAGCAGTAAAAGTCAAATAGTCAGCAGTGATTGTTAAGGGATAAAAGTTTGAGTTGTTAAATTATCTTTTTCTTATCCTAAATGTTTCAAAGTTTAGACCAACTAAAGTAGAAATTACTAGCAGGCCCGTCTCCAGGGCATATCTCTCAGTGGCAAAGGGGAGGACGGATAGGGCTCAGCGCGACAGTGTGCAGAGTTCTATTCCCCGCAAAGTGGAATTGGCTTTGTTGTAAGCCGGAGTTACCATATGGATTAACAACCTTGGCCTATCCATATGCTCTTCACCCTGGCTCCTGGGAGGCATATCCTACGATTTACCTCCTCCACGATGGCCGAGGACAGGGTCAGTGGGGGCCATTAAGGTTGAGGTTCAACCTTTTTTTTTTTTTTTTTTACTAGCAGGCCCCCCACCTACAGGGGAGCGCCATGTGGTGCCCAGTAGTACAGGGCACGCTTTGTGGGTCCCATTTATTGGGCTAGGTGCGATTTGGTCAGTGACAGTTGCAAATAAAATTATTTTCTAGGACCGAAACATGCAAGTAACTTAAATAAACCTTTAACTATTTATTCAACGTTATTAAGAGCAATGC